AAGACTCTGTAAAAAATAAAGAATAAAAAAAAACAGTCCAATCTGTTGATATGTTATTTTTCTATTGATGTTTTATTTGAGCAGGTGAACAGATTCTCAGCAGGATTTAGGACTGGAGTTAGACTGGACCATCTTAACACCTGCTGTTGGTGGTTAGACGATTTGGTGGCGCCAATTTAATTGCAGCTTGGCGACCTATTGGCTAGGGCATAGAGCTTGGAATCCTGAGGTACTGAGCTCAAGCCCCACTCCCACAGACTGCTGGGTCCCTGAGCAAGACCCTTAACCCCACACTGCTCCCCAGATGCCTAACAATGGCAGCCCACTGCCCTACAAGGCAATGCAGAGAGTTCTCTTAGTTGCTCTGTACTTGTGACAAGGTAATAATAATTATAAAAAAAAAAAAAAAACTGGTTAGTGTGGCCCCGGGGCAGCTGTATAGGAAGTGCAACTAGTGTATACAGAGTGACTGAAAATAGATCATCCTAACTTATTTTATTTTTACATTCATCAACATTATATATATATTATATTTTGGTCTTAATGGGGATTTTTCTTCGTCAATATATATTATTTTTGAATAATTGGGTAAAATGGAATCAAACAGCTTTGAAAATATAGTTGATGTAAAGTGATAGAAAAGAAATAACCTCTTCGTCCCACAGTATGGGGATTAAGAAGGATAAGAACATAGGAAAATGGAAGCAAAAAAATAAAAAAGTTGCAAGAGTTAAACTCTAAAAGGTGTGTATTTTGATGTTGATCGGTTTAAGATTCCGATTTATTTATTTATATTTACACGACAGTAATACACAAATGATCAATTTTACTAATGACCATGATTGGAAGTAGAGTGTAAAAATTAACTAAATTGATGTGACTTGTTAATGTAAACTAAAATGACTAGTAGATAATGTGCTAAAAAGCATTTTTTTACTGTAATGGGGACAGAGACGTGGCTAATAAATGGCAGACAGTGATATGCAGAGGAGACAGACTCATTTTATTTTCCCAGCAGATAACATGTGCCTTAATGAGGACATGGTATTCATGAAGAAGAAGGTGTAGGATTTAAACCTGACAGACTCAGTATTACTTACTTGACTGTTTTGTTTGCAGTCAGATCTACATGAGCGAGCTAATGCTATAAGCTCCACAGGGACAAACGAGATAAATACGCCTTACAAGACAATATCTACACACCCAGCTGGGTGTTAAAACTTTTATTTTAAATATGTTATCCGGCATCAAAGATAAGGTTAAATATGTCTTACACAAATACTCACCAACAACACGATGCTTTTAGACTCCAGACTTTTAGGTTTCCACACGTGAATTCCCCTCAACACGTTGCAGGAGAACATCCGGCGCACAAAATTGACGTAGTTTCCTTTCGTCGCTTTCAAATATTTTAGGTTAAATTCGACAAAATTAAAAAAACATTTCTAACTCTGAATTTCTCTAAAACATGTTAAAGTATATTAGCTAATATAAACTCAATACTTTGGATGTTTTATGTAAAAAAAAAAGGGAAAAAAGGGGGTCTTTTTCCTCTGACGTCATCTTCCTACGACCAAACAAGCATCATCAGGGGAAGAGGTACTAGATTTGATGTAGGGCATGGAGTAGAATCTGCAATTGATCTTACTATAGTCTCAGATCAGATAGCAGGAATAAGTCAATGGGAAGTAATGAATGATAACTCCCTTGGAAGTGATCATTATCCTATTCTGCTTAAATTGAATAATTTTAAAGTAGCAGTTGAAGAAAATTGGTATCCTAAATGGAGAATGAGGGAAGCTAATTGGGAAATGTACAAAAAGATAGCAAGTGACATGTTTATGGAGATTATGCCAAATTTAAGCAATAATATTGAAGAATTAAATTCAATGATTACAAATATAATATACGAATCTGCAGAAAAGGCCATTTGCAAATCTACTGGATTGAAGAAAAAGAAAATGGTTCCTTGGTGGAACAATGAATGTAAAGAAGCTATTAAAGTTAGGAATAAAGCATTTAAAAAGTTAAAAATAAATCATTCATTTGATAATTTAATATTATACAAAAAAGCACAATCTAAAGTTAGGAGAACAGTTAAACTATCAAAAAAGAATTATTGGAGAAGTTTTTGTAGTACAATTGGAATGGACGTTAAAATAAATGAGATCTGGGGAATGATTAGAAAGATGGGAGGAATTAGAAGGGATTTTTCTTTACCTATAATTAAAGATGATCAGTGTGAAGCTATAACAAACAAGGAAAAAGCAGAGATGTTTGCAAGGTCCTTTGTGAAGGTGCATAGTTCAAAAAATGTATCAAATGAAGAATTATCATGGAGATTGGAAATGATTGAAGATAATAGAGAAATTTTAAATAGAAAAGAGATTGATGGAAGTATTTTAGATAAAGAATTTACATTGTTTGAAATGAATAGAGCATTGATAGGAGTTAAAAATACATCTCCAGGTAAAGATGGCATATGTTATAGGATGATTGAACATTTATCAGATGATGCTAAAGGAATTATTTTCAAGTTATACAATAAAGTATGGAAACAAGGTGAATTGCCCTTAAGCTGGAAGCATTCAATCATTGTACCAATATTAAAGCCAGGTAAGGATAAATGAGAGGTTAAAAGTTATAGGCCTATAGCTCTTACTTCTAATTTATGTAAATTGATGGAGAGAATGATAACTAGGAGATTAATGTATGAAATAGAAAAAAGAGATCTTTTATCCCCTTATCAGAGTGGTTTTAGAAGTGGACGGACAACAGTAGATCCAATTGCTTGTTTAGAAAATGAAATAAGAAAGGCTCAGGTAAATAAAGAAATTCTCTTGGCTACATTTTTTGATATTGAAAAAGCATATGATATGCTTTGGAAGGAGGGTTTATTAATTAAGATGAATAAAATGGGAATCAAAGGAAAAATGTTTAATTGGATTAAGGATTTTTTAAAGAATAGAAAAATAGAAGTAAGAGTTGGGGTAAATTATTCAAACATTTATGATATACAAAATGGAACTCCACAAGGTAGTGTATGTAGTCCAGTGCTTTTTAATATAATGATTAATGATATTTTTGATAATATAGATTTTAGAATTAATAAAGCATTATATGCAGATGATGGGGCATTATGGGTGAGAGGAGGAAATCTTAGTTATTTAAAAAATAGAATGCAATCAGCAATTAAAACGGTAGAAAGATGGTCACACGAATGGGGGTTTCGTTTGTCTGTTGAGAAGACACAAGTATTATGTTTTTCAAGGAAAAGGGATAATCCAACAGTAGATCTTAGATTATATGGGCATGAATTGAAACAGGTAAATATGATAAGGTACCTTGGTGTATGGTTTGATGAAAAACTTTCATTTAAGATACATATGCAGAAGATTATTGATAAATGTAAAAAAGGTATTAATATATTGAAATGTTTGTCAGGGAATGACTGGGGGGCAACTAGCTCATCCTTGAAAAGAATATATGATGTTTTAATTCGATCTGTGTTGGACTATGGATGTATTGTTTATAAATCAGCTGCAAATTCTTTGTTGTTAGATTTAGATAGAATCCAAGCCAAAGCGCTTAGGATATGTAGTGGTGCTTTTCGAACATCTCCAGTTCCTGCTCTTCAAGTGATTACTGGAGAAATGCCACTGGACTTAAGGAGGATGAAACTGTCAATAAATTACTGGTTAAATTTACAAGGGCATGAGGAAAATCACCCTACTAAACAGATATTCAGAGAATGTTGGGAATATGGCCATAATATAAGGAGTTTTGGATGGGAAGGAAATATTTATGCAGAGTATTCTGGGATAAGTAATATAACATACTGTAAAACTGTAAGTACATCTAAAATTGCTCCATGGTTTTTCGAAATGCCAATAGTAAATTTAGAAACTAAAAAAATAGAAGAGTCTTGTGGAGGTTTGTATCAAATTATTCAGCAGCATTTAGAAGTAAGGTATGAAAATATGACACAAATATATACAGATGCATCAAAAGAGGAAAATGGTAAAACAGGAGTAGCAGTATATATTCCAAAAGAAAATATTTCTATCAAGAGAAGAACAACAGATAATTTATCAATTTTTTCAGCAGAGATGTTGGCAATTATTTTAGCATTGCAATGGGTGCTGGAGGTGAAGCCTAGAAATGTAGTTATCTGTTCAGATTCAATGTCTTGCCTGACTAGTTTTAAAAGTGGAAAATCTGAAAGCCGTCAAGATCTTTTAGATGAAGTCAGTTATTTAATGTATGGTATAAGGCAACAAAATATAACTATTCAATTCACATGGGTTCCAGCACACAAAGGAATCTTAGGTAATGAAAAAGTAGATAAGTTAGCTAAAGAAGCAGTTAAAGTAGGAGAAATTGAATATGATGTCCCGCTAAGTAGAACAGAAATAAAAGTAATTATTAAAGATAAAATAAATAAGGTATGGCAGAAGAGATGGAATTTAGAAAAAAAAGGAAGACATTTATATAAAATACATAAAGATATTAGCATAGGATATAACAGTATAATGAGTAGAAGAGAGGAAATATGGATAAACAGGTTAAGGATTGGGCATACTAGTTTAAATGCAGGTCTAAAAATAATAGGGAAACATCCAACGGGTAATTGTTGTTATTGCGGAGAAATCGAAGGAGTAGAACATGTGTTGATCTATTGTAGCAAATATACAAAAGAGAGGAAAGAACTGGAAAGGGTAATGGGGAGTTCAGTAAAGATGGCAGATTTATTAGGGAAGCATCAATCAGATAAGATAATTAAAGCACTTATTAAATATTTAAAAGATACAGAATTAGCTGGGAGAATTTAGTGTGTGTATGTGCGTGTGTGTAAGTATAGATAGAATTTAGTTTCATGAAGATATAAAGATATACAGACATTATATTTCTGAATTACATCTCCGTCCAGTTGATGGCGGTAATGCACACAGGATGCAAACTGCCAGAAAACTCAATAGAAGAAGAAGAAGAAGAAGAAGCATCATCAGGCATGGACTCAGGGAGGAAGCGTGGTCTTGAACATTTGGACGAGTATGAACCAAAAGCAGCAAAAACAGGCAAAATTAGCCTCCATGATCGGATGGCTGAGAGGAGGCTCATTGTTATTCTGGAAGGAGCATCGTTAGAGACTGTGAAGGTTTGACAATAACGCTGATTCTGATCCTAATTACCACCACACTCCACCACAAACCTGCGACATCTTCGAATATCAATGGATTTAATGGTTTTTTGTTTTGTTTGCCATATTTTAGGTTGGAAAAACGTTTGAGTTGTTGAACTGCGACCAGCACAAAAACATGATCATCAAAAGTGGAAGAGACCCGGGACACATAAGGCCAGATATCACACATCAGGTAAACATAACCCATATTAGTCTCAGCAGCTCTTTAGATCTTTATTTGTTCTAAATTATAATAAAACATCAAGTGCAGCCCTGTTCCCAGTTGTAATACATTCAAACTTCTTAAATCTATTTAGAAATTCCTAGATCTCAATAGCTTCCTTAAATTCTTTCTCATTCAATTTAATTTAAAAATATTTCAGTGATCTCAAAGAAAAATGAGATAAATGACAGACATGATAATGCATCATATCATAACTCTTGATTTGTTTTTGTGTTTTTTTTATGTGGTGGAGTTTGTTTTTATTATCATCATACTAATTGTGCCTTTTTCTTAATTCCAGTGTCTGCTCATGCTGATGGACAGCCCGCTGAACAGAGCAGGCCTTTTGCAGGTTTATATCCACACAGAGAAAAACGCCTTAATAGAGATCAACCCACAGACCCGCATCCCAAGAACGTTCAGTCGTTTCTGTGGCTTAATGGGTACGGATATTGGTTCTCTATTGCTTTTTATAATGGTTTTCACAAGTATTTGTGCCCCCTTTAACTATTTTCACATTGCAAACACAAATTTGAATGCATTTCTTGTGCATAACTGGAAAGTGGAAGTGAATATTCAGAATCACTTCAATATATGAATATATATTTGTATATTTGAGACCATTCCATTTTAGCTCAGCATGGATTCGCAGCCATCATTACACAGGATGGTAAACTCCTTCCCCAGTCAGTGTTTTGTACCTCTAACAGATTTTCTTCCTGGATTGATTTTGCATATTTTCTCCCATCATATCTGACTTGGTTCCTTGTTACTGTTGAACTTTATTGTTTCTATCACTATGATGTTTGAAGCTGTGGGTGGTGTTTACAGAATTACCTGCAGTGATACCTTTTGGATCGATTTGCAGATTAGCTACAAGTATGGAGGTCTTTTTTGATCTTCTTCCATACATTAGCTGTGTCTGCTTATAGCAAACTGCACATCTGATTTTTTTAAGGTTTTCTTCTTGTAAAGCTTTTTGACTCTTCCATGTTTATCAGTCAATACCATACATCATTCCGTCTCACATTTCTGCTCTTCTATGACAAGCAGTTCATATTCCAGTAAAATATATTAAATGTAAGATTTTCTCTCTAACATTAAAGTTCAGCTGCTGCACAAGCTGAGCGTCAGAGCCTCTGATGGTCCTCAGAAACTGTTGAAGATGATTAAAAATCCAGTGTCTGACCACCTGCCTCCTGGATGCCCCCGCATCGCCACCTCCTTCTCTGCCGGTGAGGCTGTTAATGCTCGGACTGTGGTGCCAGAAGGTCCTGCAGCGGTGGTGATCGGAGCATTTGCACATGGCTCGGTGAGGAGATGATCTCATTCTGTTTCATGTTCTCAAATATTTTCTCAATGTAATCAATGTTCTGTTTTGTCAGGTGAAAGTGGACTACACAGAGAAGAGCGTCTCCATTAGTAACTACCCACTCTCTGCAGCGCTGACCTGTGCCAAAATCTGCTCCGCCTTTGAGGAGGTGTGGGGTGTCCTGTGACACACATATCATGATGCCTGTATTTAAAAGGCGTATTTACATTGGACTACAGATACATGCTGAGTGTTGCCATATGAACAACTACTAATACCTGAAAACACCCATTCCCATTATAAATATGATTTTTGTTTGGTTTTCTCAAGAAAATGAGAAGATAATTTATCATTATATGAACCCCAAAGTCAGTAACTCATCATAATGGGATTTTTTTTGTGGGTCGTTTTTTTGGTTTACAACGGGAAGGAAAAGCTTTCTTTTTCAAGTTGACAGTGGTTGTGATCTAAAAACTCTTGTTTTTTACTCAACATTTAGTTTAGTCCTGCTTTATTGAGTTACTCACTAGTTAAGCGTTCTGTAGAGCTTTCAGGAGCTACATGAGTGCTCCTAATAAAATGTAAAAGAATGGTCTAACATTCTCCTTCGATAAGTTGATGTTTGGGCTTTATGATTATTTTTGTATCCATTATTGTCATTTTTTAAAATTCCATAATAGGTCCTGCGAAGTTTAAAAATAAAAATATATTATTCGGAAATGGTGTTATTATTGAAGTTCCATGTAGGAGATCAAGTTCGTGGATGAAAACATTGTGTTTAACACAACTGATGTAACAAATAACAGTAAACAATTGAAGATTGCTGAAATAACTTTAATCCCAATCTTTGTGCTTCTGTCATCTTTTCCTGGTATTCTGTTGCATGTACAACCTTGAGGGCTGAGGTTTTTGAAGTTGTCCTCTGGTTTTCTGTATTTCTTTGCTTTCTTTTTGATTTCCTTTCAGATTTTGGGAAATTCAATATTGTATTGATATATAAGGATTTCCTTCAACAACTTTGTGTAGAAATGTTATCTTTTAAGGATTCATGCATGATAGATTATAAAGCCTATGTAATTTTGGATTTATATAATTTATATGCCAACATAACAATTCATAGGCCTAAAGTAATAATCGTTATTTTTCTTATTAAAGCCAAGAAAAGTTGTCTAAATGTTTGGTACCAAGTACTAAACATGGTATATTTTTCATGATAATCCCTCCTACTAGCAGTAGCATTGAATAAAACAAATTAAACCCGATTTTTATTTTGTATTAGTAAAGCTGATGAATCCCAGGTTTAAAAAGTTTATAAATGTTAAAGGTACCATATGAGTTAAAGTTACAATGACGAGAGTATCAGTTCCTCTGATAAGACTTTGCTCACTTGGCAGCGTGTTTTCCTGCCAGTTCCACCTGAGGCTGAATGACCCGTAGCCGGCCCAGGCGTTTGGCTCCAGCTTTTCCAGCTGTGTTTATTAAGATATTCTACTGTTTCAATTCACTGAAAACAGCATTGTCTCCTGGTTTGCAACAGGCTAAAGTATTTAGCTCAACACCTCCCTGTGAGGCTTTTTTTCCTCTTGTTTTTCTCCTCATTTGCTAATTATTTTAAATGGGTTTCTTTTTAACCTCGAAAGAAATCTTAAGTGTGAGACCTTTGCTGCTAATTTTAAATGACTGGATTCTTTTTATGAAATTACAATTTGTGGCTTTTTGAAAAACATAATTTTGTAAGTTTGCTTTAAAAAACAGTTACCATAACAACTACAGAACTATTTTTTTTTTATTAGGTTTATAAGCAATTTGTTTTTAGAAACTATGAGAAAGTTAACTATATAAATACATTTGCATCTAAAAAAAAATTCAACCACAGATTTGAATATTTGGCAAATCTCACAAAATGGTATCTGTTTAAAATAAAGGAATCAATCACAAACCATTTCAAGCGCTACAGTTCTGCATTCTCAAATTTATTAAACACCTTTATAAATAGACTCTTTAGAAGTTATAGAGCACTTGGTGGCAGCCACTGATCACATTAGCAAACTACTGTTCTTTGTTAATTGAATAGGGGAACATTTATATCAGGGTTTATAAATCCTGTTTTTTTTTTTTTTTTTCAAAAAACACATTTAATTGGAGGACTGGAAGAGTCACTAAGAAAAAGTACTACTACTACTTCAACAGTAATCTTTAAATCCTACAATTAGAAATCTAATTAGAAATTGTTTTGTAAGTCAACATTTTAAATTGAATTATTAAGGAATAATTATAAATTGTATTTATTAATCCATCATTAAATGCTGCAATTTGAAAATACATTTTAAAGCCTTTTCATGAAGATTTAAAAACCACAATTCATAGATCTGAATATAACTACTTTACTTATAGAATGTTGAAAAAGGTAACTCCTTTACCCACTTTCATTTTCTTTTTTTTCCACCTTGTATTTTCAAATCTTTTTGCAATTTCATTTTATTTTTGCTTTCCTTTCTCTATTTAGCATTTCCGTGGCCCTTCTGATGTCCATAAGTTTAATGCGTTTTTCTCCATATATCCTTTTCCTTGTTTTACACATTGTAGAAAACCTCTCTTGTTGCAACAGAGAAAGCCGTCCACAAACAATTCTTATTTAATTAAACATGGTTTGACAAAATGTTACAAAATAGTCTCCTTTTATCGTAGACATTGATTTGTGTAAAAGACAGAGGCCTAAAAAAAAGTAATATCAGTATTTGTAGTTTGCCTGGATAAAACACAAACAAATTTTTTCTTGGAGGCAGATATAATCACATTTAACAAGAAAAAATTTAATAATTGAATAACAATTGCTTATACATAAATAAAATTATATTTTTTTAATTTGTTTAATCCTTCACATGTTGTGCAAGTAATGCAATTTGCATCATATCAAAACAACAACCAGGGCAAAAATCAAACTGAAGGAAACATGAACTGCCTGGCCAAAAAAGGTCACACAGTAACATCCAACAGTAACAGTTGGAACACCTTTAGCTTTGATTATGGCACATATTCACTGTGGCATAGTTTCGATAAGCTTCTGCAATTCCACAAGATTTATTTCCACCCAATGTTGCATAAATGTTTCTGCAGCATCTTGCATTACAAATGGTTTTCCAGGAAATCCCAAGGATTCTCAATGGGGTTCAGGTCTGAACTCTGTGGTGGCCAATCCATGTGTGAAAACAATGTGTCATTCTCCCTGAAAAATCAATTCTAGCCCGATTAATCCTGGTAATTCAGTGTATTCAGATAGCCAGTTGACCTCATCATTTGAACACATACCTAGGCCTGACCAACTGCAGCAACCCCAGATCATAGCACTGCCTCCACAGGCTTGAATAGTAGGCACTAGTTATGATGGGTACATCCCCTCACCTACCTCTGTTCTAACCCTGGTGCAACAATCACAGGGGAACAAGGTAAATCTGGACGTACCAGACCATATGACCTTGTTCCATTGACCCGAAGTCCAATCTTTGTGCTTACTGGGCAAATTAATCCTTTTCCCTCCCATTTAGTCTCATGGATTCCTGGTTTTCTTAAAGCTACATGACTGTTAAGTCCCAATCTATTGAGTTCTCCTCACACTGTTTGTGTTTAAATGCTCTTACTTTCACTATAAAACATTTCCCCAGAGTTCTACTTTTAGTTGTGTTTTTCCATCCACTTATTTCTCCTTTAAGATTATGGGTCTCCACTTTTGGTAGCTTCTGCAATCTCCTGTTTACTTTGCTTCCAAACAGACTCACATCTTTTCCATGATGATAAGATTTTTATTTTGACACGGTTTTATAAGAAATTAGAAGCAACAAGCAACAACTCACTGCACCAGATGTGGTTAAATTCACCACATAGAAGCTATTAAAAGGGAATGTCCAGCTTATGGTTGCAGCCTTTGGTCAGCATGTTTGCGACTGGTTCTGCAGAGCTTTTATTGAGCACTGTGGATTTGTTGGACACAGATCAGACTTTGCACACATGACTGGGATAAAGAACGAGGGGTCCAAAGGCATGAATTCACTGTATTGGTCAATGTCACAGCTGACCTGCAAAAATAATAAATTATACAGTTAGAGTGCTGGAGAAATACAAGATGAAAGGTCAGGAAAGTAAAGTAGCTAATAAAGGCCTTCTTTCATCTGGTTTACTCCATCCATCCATCCATCCATCCATCCATCCATCCATCCATCCATCCATCCATCCATCCATCCATCCATCCATCCATCCATCCATCCATCCATCCATCCAGATGGGGTGTTAGTATACATATACAATTACCTGAGAGAAAGATCTGAAAAACAGTTGAGTGTGATGCAGCCCTGAAACAGAGGTGTCAGCAGGATTCTGGCTTAGACTGTGATGATAGGCCTGAGGAAAAAGTTTAATGAAAAATATGAATGGTAAGAATTAAAGTGCAAATCTCTATACGTTTAGCATGCCTTCTTACCTGCAGCGCCACCTGCAGTGCAGAGTACTGCAACCACAACTCTTGCTGCTGCCCTTCGGAGAGCACTGAGGCCTCAACCTGCCCTGAATTTTCAGATGCATTGAGGTAGTGAGCCCATACACATTCCCCCACGGCATACATTGTCTCATTGTGAGAGAAAACTACAACAAACACAAACATGAGAGTTTGATGAGGACAGAAAGGATTCAATAATAAACTACACTAGATAGTGAACAAAATATTTTTTCTCTGTAAATATGTTTCTTTTGGGAGTTCCAAGATCAGCTATTTTAATTCTTATCTACTGACCACATACATTTTTTTTTACTTTACAATGTGTTGCATAAAATACACGGCAGTGTTTAAAAATGTTCTGTAATTTAACATTACTAACCTATTTGGCGTAAAACAAACTAATAGCACTGATTTTAGACATATTTAGAAACATTTAAGGGAACAACACTATTATTTAGTTTAATTCACAGACAGTCATAGAGAGATCTGGACGTAGCATCTGCAGTTTTTCTATTAAAAAAACACAACCGTACTGACAGTTGCATCTAATGAACTCACTGTACAACATACCCAAGGAGAAAAGACACCAAAAACATCTCACTAACAGGGACATTTTGGAGTCAGGAGCATCATGGTGTGGGCCAGGTGTTCTTAGCATATGGTGCTGGGAAACTTTATGACAATACTGGAAGGAAAATGATTAATCTTCAGAGACTTAAAGGTATAGTGGAGGATTTCTTGCAAAGTTTTGAAAAGACCCGCCCTCTCCATTTTAAAGAATATTACATATGCACAACCCTGTACCTGCTCCCGAGAGGGAACACCTATTAAACGTGTGAGAGAGCATGCAGGAGCCCATTTCTCCTTGTGCAC